TTTTTTTTATTTTTTATTTTGTCATTGATTTCTAATTTCATTTCATTATGATCTGATAAAATGAAGAATAGTATCTCTACCTTTTGTATTTGCTAAGAGTTTCTTTGTGGTATAATATATGGTTTATTTTAGAGAAGGATTTAGGTGCAGCTGAGAAGAAAGTGTATTTGCTCATAGAAGGATGAAATATTCTACATATGTCAGTTAAGACTAAGTTATTGATTGCATTATTGAGTTCCACAGTTTCTTTGTTTAGCTTTTGTTTGGATGATCACTGGTGATGAAAGAGATGTGTTAAAGTCACCCCAAATTATTGTGACTCTTGAACTTGAGCAGAATTTGTTTGATGAACATATATGCTCCATTGTTTGGAGCATGTATGTTTATAATTGTTATGTCTTGTTGGTGTATGGTTTTCTTGAGCAATATTAAATGACTTTATTTATCCTTTTTGATTAGCTTGAAATCTAATTTATTTGATCTGAAGTTGAAAAATCCTGCTTGCTTCTACAGTGCTGGATGTGGATGATGTGTTCAGAGAGAGCTCTGCGGCATGCAGTTTATGGTTTTGGCTGTCTTCAGAGTCTATATGATGTCCCCAGGAGTAGTCAGGCTTCCACAGATAGTGGACTATCTCTGTTGTGGCAGAGTCCCAAGATGGAGGCCATCAGGGAAGACCTATGTTTGTAGATGGAGATCCACATTGGAGTTCCTGCACATGGATAGCTGCTGGATATCCTACATGGGAGCAGCATCCAGGATTTCTGCTCAGATGGGAGGCTGAAAGTTCTGTGTGGGTGCTGGTGCCAATGGTCCTTACTTGTCAAGATATTTATGAATTCATGTCCATTTTTTCTTTCTTTCATCTCTGTGTTCCTATTTCCACAGCCATTTCTAAGTCAGAGCCCTACTTTACCTAATAAATTTTCCCTCCACATTCTCACTCCCTCCTTTTCTCTTCCTCATTTGAAACTTAATGAACCCTAATTATACTTTTGATAACATATATTTGTGACAGGACAAATATTTTTTTAAAATATCTAGAATACCCAAGAGAACCATTTACAAAACTTCTGTGATTAAGAAGGAAGTTTGGTAAATGGGGTGAATTTTTAAAAATAATACCAATTAATGACTTTCCTGTGCAAAAACAATAAATTCTAAAATTTAATATAAGTTCAGTTTACTCTTTATGCCTAGAATTGGCCAGATATAGCAAAGTTTCGTTTTAAAACGCTGGAGGGAAACTGACAGCAGTTTTTCCTACTACACGCACACTCCTTCTACAAAATGCAGCCGTCAATCTCCCCAAAGGGCAGTGGACACTTGCCACTTGGCCAATGCAGTTTCTCTCCCTGATGGATCTAACAGCAACCTCCCCAAGGGCCGTTAACCGTTCCTGGAGGCCTCCTCATGTGTTCGCTCACCTTCCAGGACAGTTGAGGACTTCGTTGACCCTTGTGGGAAGAGGTGCGGTCTCATACCGAGAGCTTAAGCGCTCACTTGCTCTCTGGGGCCCTCCACACCCCTGCAGCCTCTGCTTCTGTCTCCATTCACTTCCCCCCTGGCCACCGCCATGGGAAGATGCCATGTCCTCAGCAGGGACTTTTCCTGGGCTGGACAGGATTGGGCCCGAGAGCTGGCAGGCCCCCAAGGGTTTTGGGATCCTTCAGGTCACCCCCGCTGGGTTCCTTCACAGCTTGGGGACAGTGTACAACCTCAGCGGAGACGTCAGGCTTCTGCAGGGCCCTGGACCCTCAGCTCCCCGACCAGTCTGGTCCCAGGGAGACCCAGAGCGCCCGGGATGCAGGCCAAGCCCAGGTTCTCACCATGCTCTCCACCGGAACTCGTAAGAATCTATTAAATATATGTGACTGTTTACTTGAATACCTTTTAATAACACGGTCATTAATATTGGTTTACTCCTACATCTACATACAGACACTCATGAGCTGGCAAGACTGCACAGAGAGATCCACTACATGATTATTTTTATGTAAAATATGCAAAAGGACTAGACATAAAATGAAAACTATAATGTGAAATTAAAACTATACATGAAACATAGCCCAAAATGCAGTTACCATCATCTTTAAAATGAACTTCCTAAAATTATATAAAATAACGCAATAACATTTTTAACAATTGTAAACTACTTCACTTATATTCATCGTCTCCTCACAAACTTGTGATTCTAACTAATAAGCCCTTTTCTTACATTCCTTTCACCAACCTACTATCCAAACTATGTACAAATGTTTTATAGTAAATTTGATAAATATTACTGATCTTTCCTTGAGTTTATTAAGAAAATACCACAGGTCAAACATATCCATTTTATAACTTGACTGGTGTAAAACACCTATGCTTCTCTGCATTTCAATGACTTCTTTCTATACTACAGGGGCTCCACACTATATTTTTTTTTTTGCTGTTGTTGTTGTCTTAGTTTAATGTGTTTATTAAGCTTGAAGTAATTTCCCCCTCCCGAAATGACCTTTCTCTAATATATATTCTTCCACTTTTCTAAGAAATTTTTAACATATAACAGGACTTAATACTTAACATCTAATCTGTTTCTAATGCTGGATATAAAATCCAATAACGTTCATTCTATATAAATAGACTTGGTCTTCACAGATGGTAAATTTCCAAATTGATTGAAAATTCTAGGGTGACAGACACAAAGACCAACTTCATTTATACTCACCACTTTACTCTGAAAAAATGAAATCTCACTAAATGTTGTGACTGTAATATTTTGTGAGGAAACCTACTAATCTAACAGCTAATGCATAACTTGAGTTGAAGCTTATCTGTGCTGTCACATCATCTTGCAAGTCTGTGAAGCCCTTTATGTTTGTTACCTCGTTTTCTGTGGGTGATTTTGCTACAACTTGTAATCCCATTGATTTCCAGAGTTGTTTTGTCTGGCTAGATAGATATCCTTATCCCAGAGGCAATAGAAGAGTGAAATGTTCATTTTCAGGTCCCATGTAAAAGTACATAAGTTCACTTTGTAGAATCTGCAAGAAAGCTCTCAAATTCTGTATTAAAACCTTATTTTCATGGTTTTGACTTGTTTCAGAAATATTTGTCATATTTCCTAGAAATATTTCTATCATCTGTGCTCTATGAATTCCTAAAATGTCTAGAATTTTGACATTTGTAATTGTTTTGTTTATTTTTTGGTATGATTTTTTTTTAGTAATTATAAAGAAAATAGTAATTACATTTAATTGACCAGGCTCACTGGGAAACTTGAACTTTATTCCTACAGATGACTACCTAAAAGAAATACACATTCTAAAAAATAAAATATAGAGCTCATACAATTTTCAAAATGTTTATGCAACTTTTTAACAAATCTCTTTCTGTTTGAATTACATCAAATATTTGGAACTTACAGTTGTAGTCGTTGTTTATGCTTATCATGATAGTTTTGTTTTTTTTTTTTTTTTAAAAGTCATCCACACTTGAAATGTATTTAGTCTTCTTGTTTGGAGCAAAAGGCCAGAATTTAATTATTAGCATGATCTGAGTATCTGTTTCAAATTAAACATTAGTCTTTAGATTGCAAAATAATGTCTTGATAATTAAGCAAATTGTAGCAGGAGACCCCTATCAGCAGTACCCCCACCCCCCCACTTTGAGAAATCAGCAAGATAACTGTATCCTAAGAGCTGCTTTCTAAGTTGAATTTGGAAGGTGGTACAAAAGAAAATCATTCATTTCCACTTCAAACCATGGAGTGAATTTGTAGAAGGGCATCTATATTTCGTAGGAAATGTGGCTAGATAAAGAAGTAGGATCATCTGCTCTGGATGACAACATAGAAATGCTGGCCACATCCTGAGTTCAGATTTTGTTTTCAGATGAATATAAAAGCACCTAAATATCAGAAAAAAAGGTCCTCCCAAGGGAAAAAGAACCCTAAAAGAATTAACAAAAGCAAACGGCCCCAAAAAAAGGCCCAACACCGGCCCAAAAAAAAAAAAACCAAAAAGCCAAAGCAACCCTGGCTCTTCCAAGAGAAGCTTACTACTAACCTGAAATATTAATGATAGATAGCAGTGTATGGAGGGTATGAGTATTTTGAAGGTAATAGAGAAGTTTGAAGAGAACAAGAACAAATCCTATAACTCAGTGCTTTGTTTATTTAACTTTTAATTTTGGAAAATTTTAGATCTACAAAAATTTTTTTCAATTCAGTTCAATGGACACTTTTATACCTTTCACCTAGATTAACTTGTTCATAGTTGTCCACATTTGATCTCTCTTTCTCTTATGCATATACTTATTCCAATTATGTGGATTTACATGTACATAAAATAGATGTTCAGGAAACATATTTACATATGTACATATATGTTTATAATATTCCTTTCCAACAGAATGACTTTGAACTATGTTCAAACATTGTGAGTTTATCATCCAGATACTAAATCTCTCCACAATTTATAGTATCTCCTAAAAACAATATATAAAGAACCCCTGAATACCTTTCTTTAGGATTTCCCAATTGATGTAACTTTACTTCCTAAACTTAAGTGTATTGGTCTGGGCTGATCGCTTGAGATGATTTGTAGTTTTGTAAATTTTTTTTGTTATTAATGGGTGTTACTAATGAACAGTTTACTATGATTGCTTGATATATATATATATATAGTGTGTATGTAGTGGATATATTTTAACAACCACCATTAGTCTATGAAAATTTTAGATTTGGAAACATTGTTCTGGCTTTCAATATGAAGAGAAAAGTGTAGAGTATAAGAATTTGGAAAGTGAGTAAAATTTGTAATGCTTTATAATCATTAGAAAAATAAACTCTGGAGAGAACACATGGAGATATATAAAAGTGGATAATTTAAGCAAAAGAAAAAATATCATTCAGTATTTGGCTAGTAAGAAATTAAGGATTATTGAGATGATGAGTTATCACAAAATATTTTGATCTGAGATCCTGATTATTAATCTATTAGGAATGTCAGATCATGGATATTATCTGTTTCAATTCCATCTGTGTACACTAAATGAATGAGTAATACTAGCTACTTTAAAAAAAATTTTATTGTATGTTCCTCTTATACTTCTGTGCCAAAGAAATAGTTTAAAATACTATATGATTTTTAGAGTAACAATGTCATTATTACTAATAATTTGTAGATGAAGGATGCTTGCTCACAAATTTTGCTTTTAAATATGCATTTGGCTAAATAACACATGGTGAAGCAATGATTCAAAGTTATGTATAAGTACATTTTAGTTTTTTAAGGTAATCTAAAATACTAGTAAATAAGTAAAAACTTAAAGCCAGGAAAACTGTATATAATTTTCATTGTAGGAATCTCTTCATCTAAATTGGAAAATGTGTTTTGAGAGGTAAATCACAGCATCTCAACATTTAGTGACCATCTATAGTATTCTTTTCACCCAATCAAGACATGTCAGAATGACTTTCACCACAGGAAATGGATTAGTTGATTAGATCGAGCCAGGTCCAGGCAATTCCTGTTTTACAATAAAAGTAAACACTGTGATTTTCTTAACTTAAGTGGATATTGACTTCTACTATAGTGAAGATCAAGATTTATTATCTCAAATGATAGTCAACAGACTGTCTGACAACTATTGACTTGGGAGAAATCACAGCAGGTCACTGAACCACCAGTGAACCTGAAGAGAGATCTCTACATGCAGCGCAGCAGGATAAGGCCAATCTTACATCAAGGAGATAGGCCCTGTTAGAGACAAGGGCCATTAAAATGTGTCTTTCCATTTATTTAGTTTGTAGTGTGCCTCTATTATTTCAGTACTTTTACAACTAAGAGCAGTTAATTGTAGAATTAGAACCATAGGCAAAAATATGTATGATGCTATGTGATTCTTAATTCCTTAGTAACAATAATTCTTAATGAGTCATTAAAAATGACCTTGTATAATACTGTATAATATTTCAGCTTAAACACAAAAGATGTCCTATGCCTCTTTTTCTGGTGTTCAATTGCCAATAAATAGCACATCATTTTATAAATAAATTATCAGATGAAAGTCTATTAAAAATCTGAATAAAAATTGTATGTTAAAATGATAGCTAGTAACTTACCTAAATTATAATCCAAAATGCTTCTGGAAATGAAATAAAAGGTGCACCTTTGGTGTTGCTCTGACCAAAATACCCAGCAAAATCAACTTAGAGGAGGAAAAGTCTATTTAGGGCTCAGGGTTTGTGAAGTCTGAGTCCACAGACTGTCAGTTCCATTGCTCTGGGCCTAAGTTAAGCCAGCACATCACAGGTAAAGGGCATAGCAGAGAAAAGCTTCTCAGGTCCTGCCAGGGTCAGGAAGCAGAGGAAGAGTGGAGTCAGTGGAAAGAATCACAGGCACCCTTCCAGAGCATACCCTCAGGTACCAATCAGTCCATTCAAACTGGACTGATTCGGTCACAGCTCTCATAATCTACTTTTCTCTGAATATCCTGCATTACATCACAGTTTGGGGGAGACATCTAATACTGAAACCATAACAATACTTTCTGTTGTCTGGTATCCAATACAAACAAAAAAATAAAACCAGTGGAGCAAGATTGCAACCTTATCTTCAGTTTGGATTAGATAGAAATGGACATTATGCTGCTGAAAAAAAGGCAAAAAAGATTAACTCCAAAATACAAGGTAAAGACTCATAGAATATATAGGAAAATAAATAAGTAAATGAGTAAAAAATTGAGGCATTGTGGGGCTGAAGCTGTTGCTCAGTAGCAGAGCACTTGTCTAGCATGTGTAAGGCACTGGGTTTGATTGTTAGCACCACATAAAAATGCATAAAGGCATTCTGTCCATCTGCA